GACTCAGTACAAAACTAAAGAAAGTTTTACGTACAGTGCCCAACGTCTAGACGCAAGTACGGTATCCCACGACAAGTACCGAAATACCGGCTGCCGTATTCTCTCAAATAGCAGTGTACGTTGAAAACGACCGTTGAAACACCCTGAGCGTCGCCTAAATTCCTCGAAATCTCGAGAAACGCTTATCAGAACCTATCGATGTGGGCTCGGAAAATGTAGCTGACGATGAGATCTAGTGGGGGATTTGAGTGTTGAGCTTCTGTGAAAACTTAGAAACCGTAAAATAGTGATCAACTCGGCTCGCCGGAGTGCACTACTATTAGAGAGAATACGGTATATCATATTCTTTATATGAATCGATCAACTGATCCATATTTGTCTATTTCTATTTTCTAAAATACGGTAATCCCAATTTTAGCCCGTTCTTTTACGCGATCCCGTAAACCCGGCAAGACGACCGTTGAAAGCCTAAAATGTACTTTTCTATGATTTTTTTTTGATTCAAAACCCTTTCAATACGAGTAAAACCAATTTGTAAATAGTAAAATGTCGTACTTATTACAAAATTATTAAATATATTTTGTATATTATCTTTTTCAAGCAATCTATTTCAATTTTTATACCAGAAACATGTCTTTTTTTTGGTCTACTAAAGCAATTTTTGATACAAAATCACAGATTCCCGTATAATTGAATATATAAATAAAAGAAATTTGAATAAATTTGAATAAATTTGAATGAATTGACATAAATTGACATAAATTGACATACATTTACATACATTTACATTTACAGAACTACAGTAATGGGGAAAGACATCAATGGGGAAAGACAAAAGTTTTGAGCACCAAAGTGAAGGCAATAAAATAGAGGAAAGGAATGGGAAAGATATGAATTCGAATGACTAATGAAATCAAAGAAAATCCCAATGTTTACAGTAATCGGAGAGCACAAAATAGGAGAATGAGAAGCGAGAGAGTTACTGTAGATTGGGATTTGGCGAGTTCGGCTTCTTTTGCCGCCCATTCGCGTTGACGAGCGTCAAGATCGTCGCTGGGAAGGCCACTGAAAGAAATTTGAGGTTTTATATAGTATTCAAATAGATATACTTACCGTCATATCTGTAATTACTATACTATTTTAACTTGTTTAACTTTACGACTTACCGTAGCCTTTCTTTTTCTCTTTCGTCTTTTCTAAACGGTGCTAGAAAAGACTACGGTAATCCCATCTTTTTGAAAAAGAATCAGGGTAGACTAATTTCCGCAATTTTATAACTTTCTTCTCCGTGGGCCAATCTTTATGCTTTTGGTGTCATTTTGTTGCACTTGTTGAGATCTACAAAATGACACCAAAATCATAAAGATTGGCCCACGGAAAAGAAAGTTACGGCGAGTCGCGCAAAAGATCTAGTTGCGGAAATTAGCCTACCCCAAAAAATCAATTTACGCTCTGTTCAAGCTATTGGATTCTGAAAAGTTTCTATAATCTTGTATTTACTTTAATCTATAATCTATATCTATATCTCTAATCTATATCTTTAATCTATATCTATAATCTATATCTATAATCTATATCTCTAATCTATATCTATAATCTATATCTCTAATCTATATCTATAATCTATAATCTATAATCTATATCTATAAATATATATCTATAATCTATATCTATAAATCTATAACAAACGTGATATCAACAGATTGTCTCTCCTTTTCCTTGAGTTGATCCAATTCCGATCGAATATCAATCGAATCGGGCACTGGACCTTTTTGCACAAAACCGCCGAACTAAAATAATTTGATAATAAATTTTGAAAGTTTTCTTGCAACTTTGCACCTCTTGTCTAGGCAGATTGTTGCCATTGCCCAAATTGTCTTCTTCATTCTCGTCATTGCTCTCTTCAAGTCCTTTTCCATCGCTTGCGTCCAGAATTTCTCTAAATTATTTTTGAGTTTTTTAAAATCGAAATTCCTAGTTTCGTGTTTCCAAACTCACTTGTAGATTTGTGTCTGTTCGAATAGGGTTTTCTTGTTGCAGATCTCTCCAGTGCAAATACAGAAATTGACGAGTCCATCGAAAGCCGATCCACATCCGCTTTCCATCCTGAAATTTTGTTTTTACCAACCAATTCTTTACCAGAAATGGAAACGTGGGAATTTACTGACTTCTCTTCCGGGAATTCTGTCTGGAACTCTTCTTTCGAAGTGCATTTCTTTTCGAGAGTATATAAACCTAAAAGTTGTTTACTTTTTCACAGCCAACATTGCTCACCAGTAGCCAATTGTGTCTGCTTCGTGATACAATAGTTTTGATCAGTGTCCCCGTTGCTCTTTGCACAGTCAACAGTGACCGGATTTTTACAATCAGCTGTTGGATCGGTGTTCTCCATTTCGGAGCACATTGTACAATGAAGTGAAACCTAGAAAATATGCAATCTATGAAGTGCAATAATTTTTTTTTCTAACCTCTCCTGAAGACGTGATGATATTCTTCGAAACATCGATCACATTTGCTGGTTTGATCGGTTTTGGAAGTTCAGGTACTGGCTGAAGAGTTATATTTTGAAAAATGATCATAAAATAGTTGTAACCTGTAGTTTGTTCAGTGGTTGAGACGCGGATGAGACTGACGCGGGTTTTGTTGGAGTTTCGGGTTGATTGATTGGCTGAATTGGAATCAACGGAGCCTGTAAAGATCAAAGATACAATATAGACATTTTTGTAGAGATAAAATGCTAACTGATAAACAGGTTTACTGTAAGTTAGCAGCTAATTTCGATTACCTCCGGCATCCGTTGAATGGAAAATCTAGGTGGGATCTCGGCGCTTTCCATTCTCTCATTTGAGCTTACTATCGGTTGAACTGGTGCTGATTGTTTAGATTTAGATGAGATCTAAAATTTTCCAATAAATCCCAGCTCAAAAGCATTTTAGCTGCTAACCAGCTAAAATGTGGCTAACCTGTTTGAGGATCGGATCTCGATTGCACTCGTTTGTGTTGCAAACACAATAGCGAACCTGGAAAGGTTTAAGTTTGTGCCTTTTGGTGATAGTTTGGGCTACAAGTCAGCCATGTTTCTCTGCCAAACTTTGAACTCTTTAGTTTCCTCTGAATTCTTTAGATTTTATTGTTTAATTCTTTAGATCTCAATAGAGTTCTCTGTCTCTAAACGGACCTTTCCTTGATGCGCCTCTGCACACCCTCCCTTCACTGCCGCTTCTCCATATTCATTTTGTAACACGACCGCATTCACGCACATCTTCTCCACCGCGTTTTGGCCTGTAATCTTTTTGACTTAACTTTGAATTTGGTGCAAACCAGGCCCAATCATGATTTGTCTTGTAAAGCATAGAGTGTCCGTCCCAGCACAGTCTACTATGTTCTGCATTGGGCAGTCGGTTTGCTCATCCTGAAAATTTGAATCTTAAAATCTTAAATCTTAAAACTTAAAAGCTAAAATAAAACTATTATCGTGTTTGCTTAGATTTCTTACCGGCAACATGCCTTGACCACATTGAGCGCATTTTAGGATCGATGGTGGAGCCACAGGGAGTACTGGGGATGGGAGTGGGGCTGAAAAGGTCAACATTGACTATATAAAGTAAACAGAATATGTTTACAATAAAGAATTTGTTTTTTTAGCATTTACAGTTAGCTCTTAATATCCTTTCCTACCTTGCTTCACTCCAAACTGTTCGGATCGTGGGATTTGTTGAACGGGCGATGATGGGATTTGTGGTGATTGCTCGAATCTCTTTTGTGAGATCATCGATCCATCCAAGGCATTCGTCGAGAAGACGAAGCCAGATGGCCTGGAAATATTTAAAATATAAAGTACTCATAATTTTTGGTAGCGTTTTGTTTAGATACTTTGACAAAAATGCAAAAGATAAGGTAAAACCGGTACTTGTGGACGGGTTATCCGGGACCGGGGTAAAATTTTAAGATCCGGGGTAAACTTTCAAAAACGCGCTCAGAATATAGCATTCTGAAAAAAAAACTTTTGATAGTATCCTAGTTGGGGGACCACTTTTTTCTTCAAAACCACATGTGGGTTGGGCATCTGCCGGACCCACATCAACACATAAAACTACCTCAAAAAATGGTTTTGAAGAAAAAAAATGACCCGCCAACTAGGATATTACCAACATTTCTAATAATGACATAAAAAAATTTTGTAGAAGTTACGTTTTTGATCGAGTATCACCTCGAATCACGTAATCAAGTAATCACCTCAATAAATTGAATATCTTTACATTTGAAGGGAATTTGCCACCAAATCACTTAAGCGGCTGAATATCTTTAAAAGGGGTCGTGTATAAGGTATATAAAATTTTACTCCCCCCCCCGATACTCCACAAGTACCGGTAAAAACCTATACCCCACAATTACCGTACCTCATTGGTTTGTCTTTTCTAAATTGTGCGCGCTTTTTGGATGGGAATTGATGTTTGATGGAAATTTTCATTTCATTCCCATTTCTCAACTGACATCGAAAAAAACTTTTCGTATTGAGAAATTTATCTTTGATTGCATGGCTGCATGCAATTTAGAAGTAAATTAGTGTAATCCTCTTTACGAATGCTACCTCTATTAGATCTAACGTGTTTCGATGCTCTAATGTTTTCTCAGCTTCACCTAAACTTTAGTTTTCATGAAACCTAGTTGCATTGCTTTTGATGGCATATTTGATCAAAGTAGTACCCAAAAAGAGCTGACGTTTTGATTAGCTTTATGTTTTTGCCCTATCTTTTCTGCTTGGTTGTTTCTGTTAACTTTTTTTCTTTAGAATGTTTAAAAGTCGAAAACCGTTGAAGAAACGAGAGAAGATCGTCGACGGCGTTTTGGAAGACGCAAACGGATTGAAATGGCTTGTCGATGAGGATGGAGTGGAAATAATGTCTGATGTAACAGATGAATCGACGACGGACGAGTCGACAAATGGAGAACGAACGAAGGCGAGGAGGCCGAGAGTGAAAGTGGACCACGTCGAGCCGATGATCTCGAGAAGAAATCGCGTCTTGTTCAATAAAGTTACTCGGGAATATCAAGATGTAAGTGATTTAATGGTTACCTTTTTGAGACCACAACTTTGTGTTTGGTTTAGCATAGTTGACCTTATGCTCGTATAGTCTCACCCCTATTCTAAAGATACTCAAATGCAGAGAAAGCTCATTAGTGAAGGAAACTACCAAACCATCGCAAATTTTTGTATTTAGACGGTCGAAAAAGCCGAGCAATCGTTTGTGAAGAAGTGGCGAGAAAAAGACGATCCGAGACCCTATCCAAAGAAAATTCGAATTTGTGAGCAAAATTTCTTGGGATATTCTAAAATTTTCAACTCAAACTTAATGCCAAAAATTTGGTAATGCTGTCCTTTGTTTTGTTTTGAGTTTTGAGCCAAAATTTTGACTGCACAATCTGGGATCATTTTAGGTAAAAGAAAATGCTAAAAGGTCATAAAAAGCACCAATTAAAGTTTAATTTAGGCAACTTCGAGATCTACACTTGGTACACATCGCTTTATCCACTCGAGTGCGCGGCAGCGACCACCCTCCGCATATGCGACTTTTGCCTGCGCTACTTTGTCGAGGAATCTCTCTACCAGGCACACGTCTCTACATGTCAATTGAGGCATCCACCAGGAGACGAGATCTATCGAAAAGATGGCATTTCGGTCTATGAAGTGGGTTTTGGAGATTTAAAAAATATCTACGATAAAAAGACCAAAATGGGTTATTAAACAACTTAACTTAACGTATTAAACAGCATTGACAGTTCTTTTAAACGTTCAAATTTAAAATTAAAACATTTCAACGTCACATTATTTTTATTTAGGTGGACGGCTACCATGAGAAAGATTATTGTCGTCGAGCGTGCTTGCTGGGGAAATGTTTTATCGATTGCAAATCTTCCGTCAACGGCGGCCCATTGTTTCTTTTTTACGTACTCACAAGAAACGACGAGTATGGACAACACTTTGTTGGCTACTTTTCAAAGGTTTGAGTTTCTGAATTGCTGATTGACTTTGTTAATAGAGCCGACTTTTCATTTTAGTCGAAAGAATTTCATGGGAACGCGCTCTCTTGCATCGCCATTTTGCCATGCTTTCAGGGGTGTAGGTATGGGCATTTCCTTATAGAATTAAGTGAGTTATTAACTTTTGTTACTTCTATCAGCGATTCAGGCTATTGTCTCATGCAACGACAGGGTTTAAATGGAACTCCTGAACGACCTCTCACTGAATCCGGTCGTATCACGTATGGTCTGTATTGGCGTTCGAAAATCTTGGAATGGTTTGGGCAAAGAGAGGGCCAATTGCCGAAAGAAATGAATCTTTATTGTTGGTAGTTTTTGAAAATATAGTAGCATAGCATCAATCAAAAGTTGTGTTGGCGCAACTCTTACTAGAAAAAATTGATTAACTGAGCGGCGCGTAATAATGTCAAAGGAGAGTAGCTACTATAAAAAAAGTTACAAGAAATTCATATTTTTTAACTTAATCAACAAAACTTTAGCAATTGCAAATGACACAGGGATTACGGTGGAGGATTTGGCGAACACGATGGATTTGATGGATTGGTTTGGATCGAGTAAAGACAAGTGAGTTTGAGTGTAAGACTACCATTGATGTTCATTTTAGTCCTGAAGAAGTGGGCAGCATCGATGTGAAATGGGCCGAGGTCAAACATTACATGAAGAACAAACAACCCGGCATAACCTTTGACAAAGATTCATTCAAGGTTTTGGATTTATTCTGGGCAAATGCTCAATCATTACATTATAGTGGACACCTGGCGTTTATGATGCTAAGACTGGGAAACGAGAAAGAACGGGCAAAATGGCTGATGATGAGACCGGGAAATGTGAACGAGTGGATAGAAAAGCTAAGCAGAGCATTGTACAGGTCTTGCTTTACTTATTAGGTAAAGACAAGAAACGCTTTAGACTCCGGCGCAAGAAATACGTCGTGATCAAGGGCCTTACGGGGTTACAACTTCAGATGAGGTTTCTGTTTAATGATGTCTATGATGCACGGCTTTCTTTTCTTTTCGTCATTGATTAATTGTCGATTCAATTAATTAGATTAGATAGATCTTACTAATAAATAGATCAAACAATCATTTAATTTATCCCATAAGAGTAACACGTTTTAATAAATCAAAATTTTTAGGCAGGATTTGCGGTCGTTCATGACAATGCCAAGGGTTTGGTTTTGCTTGAAGAGTCAAACGTGCACTATGATCGACCATCTACATCTCATGCTTGCTTCAATAGGGTCTGGTTTATTTTGTTTCATTTTATGCATTTGTCTTTTAGCCGACGTTCAATAGTGCTCGGCAAGGCCCATTAATTAGATCCTTTAAACGACAATTCACAGATGTTGTAAAGTGGATGGTAAGTACTACGCAGTTATCTGAGTCGTTTTCCAAAGTAAAGCTATGTAGATTTTAAATATTGCACTTGTTATGTTTTAGCACGCGACTGAAGGAAAACAAGAAGCGAGCCTGAAGCCTCGAATGTCTTCAATAGGGACCCAAACAGATTTAATGGCGAGTGATGACAATGGAGACGATGTTTTGAGGAGAGCCTCTGGACGACGACAGCTTGACATGTCATTCACAGAAGATGACGTTCAGGACAAGGTCTAATATTTCGACTTTAAGTATTACATTTGATATTATGTTTTAGAACACAAATGAGATCAAGCAAGAAGCAATCTCTTCCTCTTTTTAGTCAACAATATTGGAAATAGTTTGATCATCGATGTAACAGAAAATAAATACTTTTTATGAGACACGCAAAATCAAAGTATACTAAAAACTAAAAAGCTGCTTTGGGGTACTGTGGAGCCATATATTACTCTACAGTTCATTCTGCTTTTACAGTAGTTGCAAAACCAAGAGCACATTTAAATTTAAATTTTTGAGGATATTTAAAATTACCTCGGTGGAGCCGGGACACTAGCGTCGATTCTTCCAATTGTGGGCTCTGTCTCCCTGTTACCTCCACCGCCTCCCCGTGATGCTTCCCTTGCTCGGAATAACGCATCGATTTCAGCGGATTCTAAACATGTCATCTCATGGCTTAATCATTGTTTGATAGATATTTATGTCAAATCCAATCTTACCCATGTCTTTCATTTCTTGATTTCCCTCCTCTTCCCTCGACGGCAATTTTTCTCGAGGAGTTTTAACGAACTAAATTTGGTAAATAATTGAAATTGACAGTTCAGTCATCACAGTTTTAACGAAAGTTTAGTCAAATGAAACAAATATAGTTTTATGTGCTGAAATTCTCAAAGACATACCCTCGGATCATTGACGGGTAGAATTGGCAATGGTTGTATTTGTGGAGCGCCCAACGCAGCCACATTATCTCCATTATCAAACGATCGCTCATTGTTTGGTGGTGCGGCTCGGACGTCGACCGTCTCCTCGGATTCCTCGCTCGCGAAAAGTTCGGGATGTTTCTGGAAGAATATTTTTAAACAAGCAAATCATACTGTATTTTGTATTATAATCAGTTTTCGTTGTTTTTTTTTATACTAAAGTGCCTCATTGGCATTGTAAACTTTCTGATGAACCTGCTCGAATTGCATGAACTGCTCGGCGATCGGTCTCGCGTTGCAGAGATCCCCGGATCGGCAAATACAATAAGCCACCTCCTGAAATGAGTCTATATTTTAAGCTGCATCTAATATTGCATATCTTTTCACTGAAATCTCTTCGCTCACCTGTCCATCGATATCCACCAAATCGCATTCTTCCTCTAGTGGCACCTCCTTTTCCGGGAATTTCTTGTAGTGATCTGACGCCGAGATACACTCTTTCAGCACTGTATATGTAGCTGAAAAATTTTTGCCTTAATTTTATTTGAATCTCCGATACCATTTTGCGCTTTATGCCTCGTCGTACGACAATAGATCTTCTCGTCGGGACTGAAGCGTTGAGCGTATGTGTCACAAGCGTATGGGAACTGGAAAAGATTTGGAGTTATAAAGATGAAGATTTCTGTCTATTGTCTATAAAGATGAAGATCTATTGTTCAATTATTGTTCAATTATTGATCTATTGATCTATTTTTCAATTGCTCAATCAGTAAGGTCAGGTTGGCCTGGACTTTACTGCAGGCAAATTTCCAGAATCAGTAAGATTGTATTCAACTTGTACTTGCACTTGAAACTCGGTTTTTCCCTTGTAATTCGACTGATTCTGGAAATTTGCCTGCAGTAAAGTCCAGGCCAACCTGACCTTACTGATTTCCAAAAAATCCTCTTTTGAAACAACTTTGATTTTCCCGATTGTCAGCATTATTTTTTTTTAAATACCTGCGTGGAGCATTCGCCGAATTCGTCTAGATTACTGTCCCCGCAAATGTGACATTGAAGTGAGGTGACTAAAGAGTTTTTTTCACATTTTGACTACTCATTTGGGGGTAGGCTAATTTCCGCAATTTTTTTGCGCAACTCACCATAACTTTATTCTAAGTAGACCAATCTTTATGATTTTGGTATCATTTTGTAGAGCTCAACAAGTACAACGAAATGACACCAAAATCATAAAGGGTGGTCCAAGAAAGTTATCGAGAGTTGCGCAAAAAAATTTGCAGAAATTAGCCTACCCCCTCATTTGATTACTTTTGATTTACATTTCCCTCTTCTCCTCAAAAATCTAAGCTAAATCTTCACAACAGTATGGCTCTAATTGAAATTCAAATAAGGGATGCTCAGACGAAAACCCTGGTTCAATATATGCAGATCAAATCAGACGAAAAGACGATCAAATCAGACGAAAACCCGGGTTCAATATATGCAGATATATGGCAATATATTCAATATATGGCTTTAAGCGAATCTCAAGGGGAAAATTGGAGAATAATCAAGGAGAAAGGGAACAAGAAATCGATTCCAAAATTTTCCATCGAGCTCAATTAGTTCTTGTCCTTTTAGAGTTTTTCTTTGCCTAAACGAATTTTCATTTTATTGCTCTAAGCATTAAAGTTGAAACCAAGGCAGATGAAAAAGTTTTGCGCCAGCGGGACTCGAATCCGCTACATTTCGCTTAGCGGGCAACTGTGTTCCCCATTACATCACAACAAGCTTGATCTCCTTTACTCCAGAGGGAGCTAAGTTAATTCCAGAGGGAGCTCAGTTATAGTTAGTTAACCAGAGTTAATTCAACGTTTATTATCGCTCAATTCCCTAGCTAGATCTTCAATAGATCACCAACTCTCCAAAAAAAACTAGTATTCTTTTTGAAACCAAAAATCATCCTGCATCCTGTTTTTTGACAATCTACAACTTTAAGCCGAAAGTCATGACGATGAAAATCCGAAAATCCGAAAATCACGGGTTTTCAGGAGAATTTCGACGGGGTTTACAGTTTTTCGAATCTCCTCCTCAGGGGATAGTAAATCCTATGTAATGGAGAGAGATCAGGGAAAAAGAGGGAAACTGGTTGTTGGGATAACAGGGAGACAGCGCTAAGCCTGAATATGAGAGAACGAAAGTTTGACCACTACCATCCTTCTCTCTTTACCACATCTCCCTTTTATCCTTCTTTTTTTTTTGTATTGTTCATTTCCCCCCCTTGTAAAGCTTTCCTCTTTTCCCCCGTTTTGCCATATCTTTTCTGGTAGAGACCGGTCCTCTTTTGAAGATCTCTCCAAAATCCTTTGTCTGCTTATTTCAATATTTCAATGGGCAACACTTTTCAGGGCAAACCATTGGGAAATCTCATTCAAGTAAAAGGCTTTTAGGAAAGATTTGATAAAAAAATCTAATAGAAAATGATAATAGGATTAACTCCCAGATCCAGAATCCATTTTCATAACTACAGTGGAAATCGAGACAAGTACTTAACGTAAATACTGTAATAGTACCCCACCCCCATAATGACGGTGCGGAGTGTTGCGTAGTCTAGCTTTGAACGAGTTTTTCTCGACACTGGTTTATGCTACAATGCACGTTTAGGTATCAAAAAATAGCTGAAATTCAGGGCTATTTTTTGATACAAAAGACGCATTTTTTGAACGTACGGGTGCTTTGAAAAAAATGAAATACTAAAAACTTTTGCGACTACGCGACTGTACGAGGGGGCTGGGGTACTATTACAGCATTTACGGTAAGTACCGTAACGGTTGGACAGGCAGATTTTAGTGTCTAATGAAATTGTCTAATGAATTTCGGTACTATATTATATTCCCCCACTGAGCCCGCCTTCTCCAATAGAAATATATATTCTCCAAATGTAAATTGGAAGTAAAGCACAAGTATAATTTCGTATCGCCGGGATGACCACACCATTCAACTATAGAAAAACTTGTGGGTGCAGCTAAATGGAGAAATAAAAAGCATATCAGTACCGCTCATCATACAGGGGGGGTGGGGTACTATTACAGTATTTACGGTAGGTAAACATCTACCGTAAATACTGTAATAGTTTTTTTCATTCCGAAATCATTTCATTTTTTCGTCATTTTCACTGTAATAGTTTCCCTATAACTTACCGTAATCTAAGCACTATCTTTTTTTGCATCTATCTACTTTTAGGTTGATTCTATAACGAATATAAAAAGATATAAAAAGATATAAAAATTAGATAATTAAATTGGATAAGAATTGAAATAAAATGACGAAAAAAATGAAATGATTTCGGAATGAAAAATGGTCAAATCAACGGGGGTGGGACAAATGCGACCTTTTTTTTGCGCACCTGGACATTTGCGCACCTTTTTTTTTTGCTGGAAAAGGCCTTAGGCAAAGCCGTAGAGCTTCGAAAATATTTTCATAGAAGAGAATCGTATGCGTAGATTCCGAATTTCGACAAATCACACCTCGCTGACACGTCAAATTTGAGCTAAAAGGCAAAAACTGCGGAAAAGCGTTAAATTGCGTAGTTTTTGCCTTTTAGCCCAAATTTGACGTGTCAGCGTGTTGACGAGATCTGATTTGTCGAAATTCGGAATCTACGCATACGATTCCCTTCTATGAAAATATTTTCGAAGCTCTACGACCTTTCCTAAGGCCTTTTCCAGCAAAAAAAAAGGTGCGCAAATGTCCAGGTGCGCAAAAAAAAGGTCGCATTTGTCCCACCCCCCCAAATCAACATAAACAGTTTGTTTGATCAACAGCTTTGTTTGATCAACAGCTTTCAACATAAACATTTCAATTTTCTTTGAAGCTTTGAAAGATTTGATAAAAATTAGTCTTTGAAGAGGACTACCTGTTGGCAAAAAGAGAAGCAACGCCACTCGTATTCGCATATCTGAAAAAGAGATTTCATGAAAATTGAAATACTCATAGTGAAGAAGAAATGAGGATTGTTAAAGAGGACTTTTAGAGTTATTGGATATGGGTACAGGATTTTTGATTTATATAAGTAATTGATAGGCTGATCTAGCTCGAAATTTGATTCTAAATCAACTCTAAATCAATTTGTAATACAACAATATCCTCAAAAGTTATTTGCTGAAGAAAAGTTGAAAAGAAAAGCGCTGATAGATTTTGAGATCGGGATTTCAAATTTGAGTTATTGTTTGAATACAAGTGAATGCACTAGATTTACTTTAACACATTCGTGCTGATCGTTTAGCTTACAACTTAGTCGTCTAGCGTACAGCTTAGTCGTTTAGCTTACAGTCTAGTCGTTTAGCGTATAGCTTAGTCGTTTAGCCTACAGCTTAGTTGTTTAGCGTACCGCTTAGTCGTTTAGCTTACAGTTTAGTCGTTT